AGTTAAGTGACCTGTTTAATTTCACACAGCAACTAATTGGCACGAGTGTACATTTTTCCACATTCTTATACTCAATCATCTGGAGATTTTCTAAAATATTAATTGTTTCCCATGTGTTTGGAAAATGTCAAACTGCTTAGCTTTCCCTCTCCAGCGGTCCCCCGAAACCATTTGATCACTTTCAAAAGGCGTTTCAGTCCACTCCAGTCTTGTTAGCATCAGCGCTGGCCAGGGCTTCCTCTGCCGCCTTTGATGTGAGGGTTCATTAAGTGGGGAGACAGGGGCTCCCATGCAGTGCGGCTGCCGTCTTGCTCAGAGCCCTCCCCGACCGAGGGAATGTGGTTCTGGGCCAACGTGGCTTCTGTAAGTCCTGTAGGCTGCTAGCTTAGTTGAGTTTGCAGTTTGCTGTGGTTTTATGGGCATTTGTCCATTTTTATTGTGCTTTCTCCTTTGACCCCTTAAGCCCTGAAAATGCTGATCCAATATGTCTTGATGAATCTAATTAGCCCCTCTTAGCTTCCAGATGCTTTCAATCGTGTCTTCAAGGTGCTCCCCAGAGGTATCTCTATTCAAATGTCAGGAGCTTACTGCTTACTGCAGCGTGTGTACATTGTCAGTTCAGTGAGTGATCTTGAAAGGAGCACAACTCGGGACTCCTGGAAGGTTTCTGAAATGGCTTAAGAAAACAAGCAAACGCCATTCTGTGCATATGTGCTCTCTCTCTGTGCCTCCAGAAATTAGACACCACCCAGGAATGTCTTTAGTATATAGAAGGAGCTGTGAAAATAGAGTTCACTGAGGATAGCAGTACTTTAAACGTTGGTACATGTGAATTTCTTGTATTAGCCTTTCCACTTTTGGTTTAGGCTTGAAAATTTTCCAAAATACGATGTGTCAAAAGGGCTAAAACATTATAAGATTTGTGAGTCTGGTTTTAATTTGTATGATCCTAAATTTTCTTATGTTTTCCACGTGTAGTTTCTGTAGTCATCAAAATGGCTATTTTTAATGGAGATCCCAATGGAAGAATGATTAAGCCACTCCTCCTTTTTTTTTTTGGACAGGCAGAGTGGACAGTGAGAGAGAGAGAGAGAAAGGTCTTCCTTTTTCCATTAGTTCACCCCCCAATGGCTGCTGCGGCCGGTGCACTGGAAGAGGAGTAACTGGGACAGAACCAGCGCCCTGACCAGGACTAGAACCCCGGGGTGCCAGCGCTGCAGGCAGAGGATTAGCCTATTGAACCGCGGCGCTGGCCCAAGCCACTCCTCTTTTGGAAATAATTGGAATCAGGGACTTGTATGCCATGTTCCTGGAAGTGTCATTGACAGCAGCCAAAGTGTATGTGTCACCCACGTGTGCAACAGCAGGTAAATGGGCAAACACAACGCAGTGGATCCCTTATTACTCACCCTTCAAAAGGACGGCCACTCTGACACCTTGAAGGTGCTATGCTGAATGAAACCAGCTGCTTAGAAACGGACAAAATAGTGTATGATTCCACTCACGTAGCACACTAGGAGAAATCAAATTCGAGGAGACAGAGAGTCGAACGCTGGTTGTTCAGAGCTGGGGGGAGCGGAGTGGGAGTCACTGTCTAATGGGGACAGTTTCGGTCTGGGAAGATGAAGCACTCCTGGAGAGGGGTGGTGGTGACTATTGCACTGTGAGCCGATGTACTATCGCTGAACTACACCTGTATGCATGTAACAGCAGCAGTGTGGTTTTATGTCGTGTATATTTTACTACAATTAAAAATATTAAATTAATATCAAAAATAGCATTTGCTCAGTTTTTTTTATCTTTTAAGAAAGCTTTTAAAATTTTATTATTGAATTGTAAGAGTTTTAAAAATTGTATGTACTCGGAGCCGGCGCTGTAGCTCACTTGGTTAATCCTCCGCCTGTGGTGCCGGCATCCCATATGGGCGCGGGGCTCTAGTCCCGGTTGCCCCTCTTCCAGTCCAGCTCTCTGCTGTGGCCTGGGAGGGCAGCGGAGGATGGCCCAAGTGCTTGGGCCCTGCACCCGCATGGGAGACCAGGAAGAAGCACCTGGCTCCTGGCTTCAGATTGGCACAGTGCCAGCTGTAGTGGCCATTTGGGGAGTGAACCAATGGAAGACCTTTCTCTCTGTCTCTCTCTCACTGTCTATAACTCTACCTGTCAAATAAATAATAAAAAAAAATTATATGTACCTTAGACCTTATCCTTTGTCAGATAAACACTTTGCAAATATTTTCTGCCAATTTTTGTAATGGGTAGGTGGCTTAGCTATTTATTTTGTTAAAGCTGTCTTTTGATGAGCAGTTTTAAATTTTGATAAAGTCTAATTTATACATATATACTTATGTATGTATACATACATATATATATGTATAAAATCTTTTCTGATGAGCTCAGTAGTTTCTAGGGGTTAGGGATGGGAAGACGGTATGATGCATCTATAAAGGGGTAGCACAGGTTATCTCTGGTGATGGAATTGTTCCATGTCCTAATTGTAATCCTACTTACATGGATTGCCACATGGTGCAGACCTCCGTGGATACAATGTACCACTACCAATTTTCTAGTTTTGATATTGTCCTGCGCTTATATAAACGCAAGTATTGAGGGAAAGCTAGAAAAAAGATCTGTGGGATCTCTCTGAACCATCTTTGCAGTTTCCTGGGAATCTATAATTATTTCCAAATAAAAAGCTGAGAGAATTCAGCCAACATGGAAGTGTGGGTCTATGTCTGGATTCCATTTTCTATGTCAGTCGCACGTGGTACCACATGTGATGAGCCAGGATCTAGGACAGACTTTGAGCACAGACTTTAGAACGCTGCTTCCATGGCTCTCTTCTAGGATTTGCTCTTTCACATTTTGCACCTGCTATGGTCACCCCAACCTTTGCTGGTTCTTCCAACCATGTAGGCTGCAGTTTTTCTTGCCAAGTTGTAGTCACTTTATTTGGCTTTGGATGGGGTCTGCCCTCAGATGCCTCTTGTAAGCAAAGGACAACTACCAGTGCTTTTTCCTTCTTCCGAATGTAGACATTCTCTCCCCTGGTGTAGCCCTACCTTTGGCTTCTTCCAGTGCCTTCAGACAATGGTTGGTTTGCAATTTGTCCTAAGTCTGTAGTTGTCACTACAGGAGGGTGGCCTCAGGAGGAGCTGACCTGCTATTATCAGAAACTGGAAGCCTCTGTCTATGTATTTTCAGCCTCACTCCCCTCCCTGTCTCTGATGGGTCGGTTTATAAGTGGTGATGTGGCCGATCTTCCAGTGTCAGGAATGAAGCTAAATGGGCTGTCCTCTGAGCATCAGAACTCACCATGTCCATGTTGTTTCAAGAGTTGGACATCTGCCTCATTAAACCATAGGAGTCCATAGCTAACTGGGACCAGACTAAACTACGCAAAATCGGAAAGTCATGTCATGTAATTTGTCTTCATGGAACTCAGTCTTCAACACCTCTCTCTCTCAGGGCCACTATAATTCTTCATTTAAAAAACATTTGAGAAGAAGAAGAGAGAGAGCACTTAATGAGCACATACCTCACCGCTGGTTCATTCTCCAAATGCCTGCAGTAGCCAGGGCTGGGCTGGAGCCAACCCTGGGGGCTGTGAACCCAATCCGGGTCTTGCAAGGAGGTGGCAAGAACTCAGTTGAGCCATCACTACTGCCTCCCAGGGGTCCACATTTGTAGGAAGGGGAGGTCAAGAGCTGGAGCTGAGAACTGAACCCAGGTACCCTGATGTGGGGCGTGGGCATCTTGACTACTGGGCTAAATACCTGCTCCCTCTGGCTCCCTATTCCTGGATAGAAAAGCTCCCTGAGTTTCTAGAATTTTTTCCCCAGGCAACCCTTCATGCTCCTGATCCCCCTGTCTCTTCTAGCATTTACCAACACTCTCTTCCCCTGCCCAGCCCTACAGCCTGTCACCCCTTTGCTAGGCTGGAGTTAACAAAGGAACTGAAACCTAGTTCTGTGACAGTGACAATGGGAAATGTGCTTTCTTTCACAATATCTCTTTTTGATATCACCTCTGGATGATATCATGGAAAGAGCCCTAGGATGTAAAATAATACAGCTCCTTCACTTTTTCTGTCAAGATAATGAATTTCCAGAGAGGATAAATGGCATTTCCAAGGTTATGTGCTTGATAATTAGAGCTCAAAAATCCCAGTTCCTGACTTGAGTTGGTTTGGGAGTAGCTTCAAGTCCAGTAGCAGGCCACGGAAGGCAACAGGGCCGCAATTTGACGCACGGTGATGTCACTGCTACACGGTGACAGGGCAGCCGTCGGCAGCCACACGGCTGCCTAGTGGGCTAATAGGGTCTCAATGGAGGATGAGAGCTGATTACAACAGGAAAGGACATCCTGCCTAGCAAAGGGAAACCAGTGGGGACACCATCCAGGGCCTTAATGGGAATTTGGTTCGGTCCCGTGTCCATCCATACAACAGAACCAACACAGAGATGCAAGCGGAGCTTAATGGACCAATGGATGGGAAATCTCTCTTTGCTTGCCTCTGTCTCTCAGCCTCGAAAGCAAACACTTAAAAAAAAGCAAGACTTTGGTGTTATATCGAAGCTGGCCTATGGAACAGTTTCACAGCACTTCATGTCACAGCAACATGGACAAACCTAGGGCCACGTGCAGCGCCTCCCACTCACCCTTCCCATCCCATCAACTACAGGTCAGGATTGGGCACTGAACTGAAGATAAATCCTATCTATAATGGTTAGAAATAATGCATCTAGCATCTGTTAGTTTTAAAAAGTGTGAACATCTTACTTTCTGCTGTAAAACAAATCACAACTGACTGACATGTCACTTCTGATAGAAGAGAAACATGGGCTTAAAATGAGTTGTGGTATCTGAGGTTTGTGGACTGGGCTGAATAGCTCCAAACGTTGCATCAACTTTCTCCCAGGAACTTCCCAGAGGGGCCACACTTTGCCAGGGATCATAGGTTTATAGATTTCTAATACTGTGTTTTATTTGTGTATTTTCAGAACATGAAGCTTCTGCTCATGTAACACATTCAGGAACTCTGGGTATAGGACAGGTTAGCCCCTAACTTTTGGGTCTGAGTTCCTCTTTCTCCTGATAAAGTTGTTCTTCCAGATCAAAACCTGTCTTTGAGCATTAGTGTTCCACTGAACTGATTCAATGAAAAACCGCTATTTGGGTTTGGTTGGGTTGGCTTTGGTGAATGAGCGTTGTGTGTTGAAGGCAAATCTGCTAAGAATAATTTCTTTTGAAAGAGAGACATTAGGAAGAAGAAATTGGGGTCTACCCTGGAAGATATGCAGAATGACTGGAAATTATTGAAGAGTAGTGGGTGGGGAGGAATAGGAGAAGAGAAGAGGAGAGGAGAGGAGGGGAGAGGAGGAGAGAGGAGAGGAGAGGAGAAGAGATAGGGAGAGGAGGCAAGAAGTGGAGAAGAGGATGAGAAAGAAGCGAGGTGTAGGAGGAGGAGGAGAGGAAGAGGAGGAGGAGGCAGGTGAGGAGAGACCAAGACAGACACTGATTTTCTTCATGTTGTATATTTGCCTACTCTTTTTGTTCCTATTGCTATCAGCATGTTTAGACAAGAGGAGTTACACTCAGCTCACAAGCAGCAACGGCCTTCAAGCTGTCCATCTGTCTCCAGTGTTGCCTCTCTCAAGTCCATTCCTCACGTGACCACTCGAAGGCTGATCTCCAAAGCGAAGGGCAGGTGGAGTCTGCTCTCTGCCTCCACTCCTCGTTCTTGGCCACATTCCTGCTACAGCCACTGGTGTCCACGTGTCGCCTGGATGAGAAGCATCGGCAACGCAAGGCGCCCGGGACTAGGGGGTGGCGTGACGTTGGTTGCCTTGGAGTCTGCATCCTTCGCTCTCAGCGGGTGCCCTAGCTTTCCACATGGCTCTCAGAAGGAACCTGGAGCCATGCTATGGCAGGACAGGGTGAGACCCTGCTCTCTCGGGAAGCAAGCTGGAAGGGAAATGCCCTTTGCATCTGATTCTTCCTGGTGGTCCTGAAGGTGTTTAAGCAGACATGTGTCCTGCCCGGTCAGTTACAGCTGACATTTCATTCTCAGCCACATTTGTAACTACAAGCGAACTATGCTTCCTATTGCAAGGTGCTAGCCGGGGCCACAAACAACAACACGCTTGTCTTGTGCTTGTGGGTGCTTTATGGGTTAGCTGTGTTGAAATCTATGCGGCTCGGCACGGCCACGAGAGCGGGCGTGTCTGCCGATAGCGCTGGTCCCTCACATCACACAGCACTTCTGTTCGGCGGACTGCTTGATTTCTGTGAAGGTGGCCTGGGCCTTCTCCTTGATGGCATCCAAGTCCATGTTCTGCAGATTCTGTAAGTGCCCCAGAATGGAATCCTTATCCTCTTCCTCTTCCTGGTCCTCATCTACCATCTTCCGGAGGTCTTCGGGCAAATCCACATCATCTCCAGCTATCTGGATTTGATTCTCATCCATTTCACTCTGAAAAACAAACACAGAGATAGAGTTGCTACTCTAAAACCAACCAACCAGCTAACTAAATGAAAGACAAATGCAGCAGGAAAGCAAGAATCTGTCGAGAAGGGATGAAGTGAATGGCACACACGGCCATCTCCCTGCAGAGCCTGGTCTTGGTGGCTGCTGTGGAGACCGGAGCTCCTGGTGGAGAGACCCCTCCTTATTCCACCTTGGGCCAACCAGAACCTTCTAACACAGTGGTTGTCCAAGTGTGTTCCCTGGACAAGTAGCATTAACATCATCTAGGTGCCTGTTTGAGGCGCACATTTTTGGGGTGGGTGTTTTGGCATAGCTGTAAAGAGGCCGCTCTGTATGCTCACGGCCCATAATGGGGTGCCTGGGTCCATTTCCCAATTCTGCTCTCAATTCTAGCTCCCTCATGTGCACTCTTGGAAGCATCAGGTGACAGCTTAAGCAGTGAGGGTCTCTGACACCCATGTAGATCACCTGGATTGAGTTCTGGCCCAGCCCAGGCTGTTGTAAGAATTTGAGAAGATTGGAGGCACGTCTGTTTCCCTCTCTGCCTTTTAAATAATAATTTTAAAAATGTATGCAAAATTTCAGGCCCCACTTCCACCCTACTGAACTGGGAACTGTGGGGGTGGCCCCAGCCATTGGGATGCCCAGAAGCCCTCTGTCTGTGATGCTGATGGCCCAAGAGCTGGAGCACCTCATGGCAACTTCACCTCAGGGCTGCTTTGCAAATTTTGCATGGTTTATCAGCCCCACAGCCTCATGCTACAACTCAGCGGCCTGGCTGACCCCACTCCACAGGGTGACAGTGACCAGATAGAGCTCTGTCATTACACTCATTACACTTCAGTGACAATTGCTTAACTATCACTGCTTCCCTCCCTTCTGCAAGATGGCGGTCCCCTTGTGTGCACAGAAACGTGTCCACACCAAACTCAGACCCTCAGCACCTGGATGGAGTCATGCTGGCTAAATGAACCACCTGTGGCACGGCTCCTACTCAGAGCACCCTGATGCTGGTGCCATCGGCACAGTTTGCTCTAAGTACTTCATTTTGTGACGTACCCATGGAGGCCCCAGAATTCCTTAGTGCACATCTCCTGGTCTTTCAGATTCCTTTACTGCTTCGGCAGAAAAGAATCTAAAGAAAAATATTCCCTAGGAAAAGTTAAACAGTAGCTTATATTCCCAGATTGGAGATCAGGTTGTAACATGAAGTGAACAGGGGGGCGGGAGTCAGGGGTGGAGAAGATGAAAAAGAGTGACACTGATGATAGCGATAGGGCCACCTTCACTGCTTGGGACCAGCCTCGAATTTCCCGTGAAAACCCACATAAAGACAAAATGATCATCTTAATCTCAACCAGACCATTGGTTGGATTCAAAACAGCTTTCAGCATGCACTGAGTTCCCAGGATGGAGATCTGGGTTCCCTGGTCGGGGTGCCGAGCAGAAATGGTCAAAAAGAATCAGGCGCTGTCTCAGAGCAAACGGCACGGCAGGACGATGCATGGACCTTATTCTACCTCTGCAAAGTGGGCTGGAGGGACACACAGTCGAGAGCTTTCCAGCTCTGACCTCTAAGCACCAAATTCCTCCAGCCGATCCTTGGAGGGGCTGCAGCCAAACAGCCTGTCCCCAGGGCTCTCCCTTTTATCTGCTCCCCAGGCCGAGTGAGAGCCGAGCCTGGTCCCAGAGTTAGGGTAAGAGGCAGATTTCTGATGGCAAGCAGGCAGGGACGGACGTCACACGGGCCTCAGAGAAGGGCCACCGTCAGCAGCAGTCTCCGCAGCTGGGGAGGCCGTCCCTGCACTTGGCCCGGGCCTTGGACCCAGATTAATGAGTTCCCCATCAAACTGTTGTGGGATTAGTTAGGTAGCTAATCCCCAGAGGCTCCCGGCCAATCTTGCATTTCTGTTTACTTTTTATTTACCTACCCTTGCGGCTGCTTTTCTCACTGGTTGTCCTCTGGATTTTTTTTTCCAAGGAGAAGAGGCAAAGCAGGCATCAGCCTGTCCCTTCTCAGTCCACGAAAATGCCCTCTCGTATGCACCCACCTCCACACGGCAAGGAAATGACTGAGAGGACATTCCTGGGAATTCTAGCACCTTCCTGCTGGCTGTTGGTCAGAGCCCTGTGCGTGTCACTGGGAAGGTGAGCTCACCAGGTATGCTAAGACAGATCCAGCTCACAAGGGCTCGTGGGATGGTGCTCTCCTGCCTCCTGTCCACGGGCGTCCTCAGCAAGGCCAGCTCTCCCACCCTTGGCCTCTGGAGAGGCTCTTGTGTGGTCACTCTTGCAAGGGTGACTGTGAGGTGGATTTTGCATTGATGCTGCTTGCCCAGGGAGGGGAGAGGACTGGGCGGGGAGGGGACAGTCCACGCTGCCTTACACCTTACAAAAGGGATCTCCAATGCTCCAGCTTCTACCAAAGTGGCTCTCAAAGTGGGGTCCCCAGGGCCGCTTCCTCAGCCTCTCCCAGGGAGGGGAACGCCCGGAACCATGGGCCTTCTCATGGCCCTGGCCCGGCCCAGATTCAAAATGCGGTAAATCTGGAACAGGCTAATCTTTACGTCGGTAATTTTGTATCGCCCACGAACGATGTTGTCAGTAGCCAAATGGTCCTTGGCAGACAGCAGGTCCCCCACCCACCTTGTTAGAGATGCACACTCTTGGGACCCACTGACCCAGAAACTCAGGGGCTGGGCCCAGCACTCAGTCCTCCTGGGGATTCCAGCACCTGCTACATTGAGATCCACAGCTCTACATTTCTCAAAGACAGGCTACAACCGTCTCACCCTACATTCCAGAGCCCAGCAGCATTTGGAGTGCGTAGACACACACAATAGACCCCTATTGTGTGATCACCAGTGAGCCTATTGTCCGGGACTCCAGCAACCTCAAAATGACTGGAGAAAGCTCTGTCTCCATAGCTGTCCCTCACGTTCCTACTCCTGTCGGGGAAGCCCAGCCTAGTGGAGTGGGCGTTAGCCTGAGACCAATTGTCTGCGTGAGAATGTAAGCTCCATGGCTCAGGCTGTGTGACCCGGGGTGCCTTACCCAACCTCTCTGAGTTTATTTCCTTGTCTGTTCATTAGGGATGATATTATTTGCTTTAGAGTTGTGCAGGATTAATTAGATGGCAACTATTATTTAGAGCCTATTAAGCACTCAACCAGCAGAAGCTATTCACAAAATAGCAATGCCCAGAGTGGGTGGGGATTTGCCCCAGGGTAATCCTGCCCCGGCTCTTGGTCCCATCCGCAGGCCACCCGCTCTTTGCCCCTCACTTCTGCCCTGGGAATGACAGGCTCGCTCTTTGTCACGAGCCAGCCTTCCAGCACCGGGCTCTCAGTTCTGGGAGGAGGCTGTCTAGTGGCACTGTGTCCCTTACTGTTGTCAGTGTCCCCACCCTCCTTGTACCCGACACTTGATTATCAGAGTCCCTGACTCCACCCCTTCCTGGGAAGGGCCGGGGCCTGGTGCTTCTGCCTCACCTGCTGCCCTCTGGCTGCTCCCAGCTCAGCCTGCTTCCTGGGCACCGGCCTGCCCAGGATGCCAGGTGGGCTCTGGGATGCACTTGGGACAAAGCGGATGTGGGCTTAGATGGGGGGCAGGCGCTATTGACCCCGTAGGCAGCATTGGATGTGGCCACTGGCTGTGGGCAGCGCCACACTCACAGTTGTTCTAAGAACAATGTCACCGTCCCTCCAATCAGCAGCACGGTTGCTGCGGGTGATGACCAAAGTTCTGGAATTCATTGCCCTGGACATAACCTGCACTGCAGACACACCTTTGATGAAGGCTGGGCTGACCAGACAGGGCTGGTGAGTGGCTAGAGGATGAATGACACCCATGGAGCCGAGCCTGGGGCCGTGGGCTTGTTAGCACTGGCTCCTAAGCATGTGAGCTGCCCCAGACCTAGGCCTGGCCAAGTGTCAGCGTCTCACTTGTAGCCACTGCAGCCTACCCAGCCTGCTAGTCTGTAGCCTAGAAGGAGACACTGAGGTTCAAGTCCAGGGTTTGTCATTTATCCGCTGCATGACTTTGGGGGAGTCCCCTTACGTTTCTGAGGCCCACTGCAAGGACCCCCCAGGTGCACTGGTGAGCAGATTAAGTATGGCAGGTTGTGCAATGGCCTCACGAGCAGCTGGGGTTATTAGTATTTGGGGGAAGAGGGAGTGTCCCTTGGATAAAGGAGGCCTGGATAGTGACCCGAGGGTGGGAGAGCATCGGCCCTTCAGACAGGGATCCTGGCCACAGCAAGCAAGTAGGAAGCACCAGTGGGATTTGCACAGCGGCCCCAGCCAGCCCACTGCTTCCTTTCCCTGTGAACACCCTGCTGGCCAGACCCCGTCTGCAGTTCCAACAATGGCTGTCTTGTCCACACTTCCTGCCACCCATGGACAAATCTCAGACTGGGGAGGCCGGGGCTGTTCTTGGCACAGTTCACACTTGAAGGAAAGGCAGCGAGGCCTCATGACAACTAGTGCAGCTCCAGCGGCCGTGCCACAGCCTCACCGCAGGTGCAGGGAGGGGGTAGGGGCGCAAGGGCTGAGAACCAGAGCCTGGACGAGTGAGTGCATGACGGGGGGAAGTGAGCCAGCTGTAATTAGGGGGCTTACGGGCCCTATTTTATTCTCAGAGGGTCTGTTTCAGAGGTCTTCTCATTTCTAGAAATCTTATCAATTTGGGATATTGTTTAATGCAGCTAAAAGCTGATTATTTTTATGCCAGCTGACTGGGATCCGTCCTAATCTCTTGTTTTTAACCAGACTTATTATCTGCATTGCCAATGCTGACTGCTCCATTAGGTAAATCGCTCCATGTCAGGCCAGCATCACTCCCTGGGACCCGGCATCTCGAAGGGAAGCGTGGCCCTGGGCTTCAGACTGCCTCCTCTGTAGACCTACAGCAATGGCCTTTACCTTTTGCCAGACTTGAGACACAATGATAAAGGATCTTCGGTGGTTTTATCTTCAGAAAAGCTG